CTGATTGAATCGTCTCTGTAAAGTGCCTTGAGATGACGTGTTGTCAATTGGCGCTGCATAAATAAACTGAATCGATTAAAAAATACTTGATAGTCCTCTTTAATTAGATTATACTGTTGTAAATAAATCATTCCTGTGTTTTCGTGGTCGGTTTTTGATCAACATACAAACTTTATGATGGTATCAATGCTGCCACCCTCTGGTTTCGAGGTGCTGTTCCATATCCAAGTGACATCAGTTCACCTGGCAGGGTTGATGGGGCCACAGGGGGACAAATGATTGGCTAAGAGGGGCCATGGCTCACCCAGCGTTTCACAGATCACATTCTCTTTACTTCTGGGGGAGGACTTTCCTATGGCATGAGGAGTGAAGACTCATTTTTATTGGTCTTCCTTGATGTTAGCAACAAAGTTTTATTGGTCAAGAGAAGGTGTTTGTATTGGGCTTGATGTGAAGAGAATGTCTACAACAGAATGGCGACCAATCCATAGTTTTTTATTCATAAACTGTTGGAGATCCAGCCCCATAGCAACCCTAAAGAAAAAGATGGATGGATCCTTCCAAGCGTTCTGTAAAATAATTCTGTTAAATGAATGCAATTCATAAAACTGAGTCTGAGAAAATTTAATTTGAAAAAGTAAACTATCAAAAAAAAAACGACAAAATTAATATTTGAAGAAATAAAATCTAAAAAACAGCAAAGTTCCTCTAAAAACCTTTTTACTACACATTTTTTGATTAGTACAATGATGGACAAAATTTACTCCATAAACAGAACTCCTCATAATTGATCCTTTTAAGAGCTGGCAGAAAAACATAACTCCTTCAGGTTTAACAAGTTTATCTAGACATTTGTGGTGTCCTGATCCAATCAAAGAGTTTATAATTAAAGTGTTCTGTTTTCTTTTTAATGATTTTAATCAAAGTGCGTGATGAAACTAATCTTTTCAGACCTGTTGATGGTCCCCTATCTGTGATTAAGTTCCAGTAGTGAGAATATTGGTCCGGTTTTGCACAACTTACAAACTGTGTTACAACTGGTTAAGTGCTGATTCAATGTTGGATTTTTTGATTGGGACCTGTATGTGTATATTATAAAAATAATTTTATAAAATGAATATTGGGTGATAATTTAAAGATATTACCAATCTAGTCAGGTGGAAAAATCTCTTTAATTTCACTTCAGTAGAGACAAAACAACAAAAGTCACAAAGATTACTTTTGAAGCCTAATGAAATGCATTTATTTCCAATCCTGCTGCATAAATAAAAACTATGCCAATGGAGTCAGTTCTAAAGTTAGTAAGCTATATCATTCCATTAGAAACATAAAATAAAAAAACTAAACAATAAAAAAAAAAAAATCAGAAACTGATGAAAGTCTGCAAACTTGCTGCCAGAAGAAAGACAACCAAAAATTATGTTTAGAAGTGATCTAACATGAGAAGGAAGCAATTCAAAGATTAAAAAAAGCAATACAGAAAAGAAATGAAACCAGAAGCAGAGTGTCTTTTTAAGTGTCTAACAAAATTCCACCTCGGCATTACAATTCTCCTCTTCTGGCTCCTAATAAAAACATTGAAAATCAAACACCTCTGAATAAAACACTCTCACCATAGGGAAAGCTTTTACCCAACATGGAAGAATAAATAAGAACAAAACACCATCTGTTTCATTATATCCATTCGTTCTTTACAGAAGTGCTTTTTTTTGTCTGTTTGGCTCACTGAATAATATTAATAACATTAGTGAACAAATCAGGCCAATTAGCCCCAAAATCCATAATTTAAGATCTACATTTTTCAAACATTTTCATTTTTGTAAATGTATTCATACATTCATAATGTGATAAAATCAATCCCCTTTTGTTGATTTCAGTAATTGAGGCACAGTTGTGATATGAACTCAAACAGTATCTCCAATAAAAGCTTTCTGGAAAACAATGTTGAACTACGGGCTTCTTTCTATGACAGAATTTGGTGCCAATAGCAAAACAATCAATCATTGTAGAAAACCTAAAGTTTTTACTATCTTAAGTCCTTCAAATATAAAAAAAATGATTTAGGTAAGTACTGGCGCCAACTTGTTTGTGAATTCCAGCTCATTTCTCATTGCACAGTAACATGTTCCCACTGTTTTTCCATTTAGCAGCGACTAAAATGTGAACCCTTCAATGCCACGTAAAAAAGACTTTTCCCACTTGTGACTTTGCTAAAAACAGACTGCAAGCATTCTGAATGAATGTTTTTCTATTGAGGGCTCAATTAGAAAAAAACCCTCAAATACTAGTATGCTTATTTTGCAATTCTCTCCTCCACTTGGGCAGCATTTGGTTCAGAGACCGGATGAAGTCAGGCTTTTAAGACTAATTTGGCACTTTTCTCAACACTATCGAATGACACACCACTGACTTCAAATTCTCTCATATAGATGTACATATGTTTCATTATTTTGCTGTGTGGCGTGAGTCACACAACATGCCTTCATTTCATTAAGTAATAACACTATAGAGAGACAATAAAATAGGTATTTTTTTTGTTCCATTGACTACGAAACGTGATAGTTTTATATTTACCCTTTAAGCTGAACTTAATGAGTTCTTAGCAGCATTGACCGTATGATCGCTGAATGCTCTGTGATTAAAATCCATCTCTTTTTATCTGTACCTGCTGTAACCTTCTGTGTGTAATCGTCAGTAGCCACATGCTTAAGGGATGTGACTGTAACTCTATGGAAAGCCACCAGGTAAAAAAACATCTGATGCGTAGACCATACGTACCTGTCATGTTCATAGTGAATACTCAACATGTACTCTACACATTGTCAACATGAAAAAAGTGTGAAGAAATTAACAGCTAAACAACACTTAGAGTAGATGTGTACTACAAGTTAACAATGTCACAGTCATATATGTGCATATGCATAGATGTCATGGGATTTTGAACCTGGTGGCTTTCCATATTGCTTATTTTAGTTGAATTTTTGAATAAATTACGCAAGAAACCCATCGAGTCTAGTCTGAAGTAAAAGGAGAACCTTTGGCAAGCAAAGATAAGAAAAAGGTGCTGAAGTGTTCATGTGCTGCATTGCAAAAAGCACAGCTCAAAAATGTAAACGAATGGCCCTTTAGTTTTTAGAGATGCACCGATACTGGAAAGAAGCAGTTTGAATGACTAGGGAGAAATTTAAAAATATTTTTTTAACAATTTTTGTTAATTCAGCAATAACTTAGTTCCTTTTATTTGTTTTAGTTTTCGATTTGTGGTCAGAATTTTACATGCAAAATGCTCTCTGTGAGAGGTCTAATTGAAAAAGTCTAGAGAATCATGATGGAGAAGATACTTCCTAAATTTAGTATACTTCCATTTAGACTGCATACTGACAAGAAGATTCTCTCTTAATACCATCAGCATATGTTAAGCTGGCTCTCATGATAGCAATATTTCAGTTGTTCAGTTTAAACTGTAATTTCCTAAATGATTAATACACATTTATAAAGACCCAAAGGCTGATTAGTCAAGAATAGAGCATCTCTGACAGAATATCCTGAAGTCAGACTAGGCAGATTTTATTAATTGATTAACTAACTAGTGGGGAAAGTTACATTTTTAACCCATGAGCTGTAGCCCTCTTTTCATCTCTTGTTTAATGAGCATAAACCTGAACCAGTTTTTGGTTAGACTTGCAAAAAAACAACCTAAAAATTTGTTTTAATGTAACTTAACTTCAGTTTTAGATGAATAGATTTAGTTTTTAATTGCTTACGTGTAAACGTCACTGCCTTTTAAAAAACACCCATTGTAGCTGTTGGTGCCGTCCACACAGAGCGTGTAGCCTGGAAACAAATAATGAATAAACACTTTCCTAAACATCTCTGCAAAGCAACACCAACCTTTAGTCACTAGGGGCACTACACCTGTAACTTCCATAATTAGTGGCCCTGAAAATAACTAGAAGAGCTGCATCATTACACAATTAAACAGCCTCCCTTTTGGAAAAGAAGATTGAAAGGTCATGGAGTTGATTTTAAAACAAGGCCACATTCATCCCTATGGCTTAAATCCCATATGAGAAGTAAATTTCGTTCCATTATTGATGCAAGCAAAGAATACGATTTATAAATGGAAATTGGAAACTAAATGTGAATGTGATTTATAAAGCGCAATTCGAAACACATGCAATTTTTAAAACTCAGTCTAAAAAATTAAGAGAGAAATTTGAAAAAGCATAATGCATGAAAAAGAATTTTGATTTTTTTTTTAATAAATAAAATAAGAGTAATTGAAAATACGAAACCTGAGAAAGTTGCCTTTTTTTATATGACTTTTTAAAATTCTTTTCATCTATTTTAAAATTTCCATGTACAAAACTTGTTCTTTGCTTAAAAAGTTACGATGGAACATAAGAACCCAAAATATATCTGATTAAGTAAGTTTCATATCTGTTTTACTTCCAAACCACAGTTACCTCTGGGTCACATGACTCATTCAGTGATAGATCCCATCCACTTTATTTATACAGGCAAGTTTTTGATTAAAGTAAACTGCTTGGAGCATCGCTACGCACCAAGTGCTTAATATTTACCAGATAAATTGTTTTATATATCTTAAATTAAGCTAATATTTGGGTCGAAAGCCACAGCTCTTAAAAGTAGATATGAATAAAACCTCTAATTACTGGTCAGAGCTTTCAAAATAAAAGTGGAAACCGACCCAACAGATTCTGATCGGTGCATCTCTAATTTCTGTCGTTTACTGAGGTTTTCTGATGGCTCCTAATGATTCACAGATCGTTAAAATTGAAAGCGTAAAAACAGTCAAGAGTAGAAAGAAAGTTGCTTGATTTAAATGTAAAAGTTTTAGAATAGCTGAAACATAATTGAATTTTGACACCATGAAGGGATCTGTGGCCTGTCTTTTGCCAGCACCGATAAAAGTACTTTTAAAATCTGCTTTATATGGTCAAACTGACAAAAGGTTTGCTTAACTTTGACCATGAGTGTATATATGAATGGTCTCTCGGTGATGCACTGCTATTTCTTGCCCAGCAAGAGTTAATCATTCCTTTCATAGTGCAAATGCCATCATTTGAAACCAGAACTGGAACTGAGTGGAAGCCTTCAGCGCCTTTTGGAGCCTCGGGGCCCCCAGAGTCCCTCTCTGGCTGTTTGCACTACACTCTTTGACCAGCAGAATCTGTCACACAATCTTATGTTTCTGTTTCAAACTGTAGCAAACCGACAGAAAAAGGTGGATAAAAAAAAATCTGCCAGTTTATGACAAAAACATCTCATTTCTGCTGTAAAATAAGTTACAAAAAGGTTGAAATAAAAATCTTTGTGTACAGTACTAAAATCCTAACCTAGAGATTTTAAAATTAAGAACCACATGTTAAGTCTATAAATACCTTTACAAATATACATGTTAATTATTCAAATAAAACTTTTCTAAATGATTCAATGTTTTTAACGCTCAGACAGTGTCTTTCATCCTCAAATAAAATTATTTCTAAATGTTCTTTTTGTGTCTTTTTACGTACATAGCTATGGACAGCGATATCATACATATTTGCATTTATATATTTACAATACACCACTTTCTAGTAATAGAAAAAAAGAATTCCTCCAAACGCCAAATGTTCTTATTACTGAAAGGCCCTGAAACTTTGCCTCATGAGGAGTTTGTTCGGAGGCTATTCCAAAATTGTTCTTAAGATGTAAAGATGTGGAAAGAGAACACTGATGAAACCAACTCTGTAGCTGAATGTCTTCAACTTTTCCAAGTTGAGTCTGGTTTTTCTGGCGACTTCTTGCAGGATTAGCTTTTAAAGTCATCCATGGGCTCCTTTCGAATGAGACCAATCGAACGTCCTCCTGCACCCCTTGAAATGCCCTTTGTGTCCTCCTCTAAAGTTTCCCATGGAGGTTTAATCCCAGTAGGCACGGAATGGTTTCACCAAGCAACCGTTTGTAGCAAAAGACTGGCCAGAGTATAAAAATAGAATTTCATTCCTGACAAGAACGCAAAAATGGTTCATCAGCAAAAAAGAGAAAAAAAGTCCTTCAGTGTCCAAAGTGTCTTTTGGGGAATTAAAGAAGGAAAAACCTAAAGACAATGCCAGACCAAGAGTTTAAGACGAGCTCAGAGCTGCGGAAGTATTGCATGAAGTCTTTCTTTCCATAACTTGAGGACTCTGGAGTCACTGAGAGGTGATTATTTGTGACAAACTGAGAGCGGAGAGATCCAGACCTGACCTCCAGGAGTTCAGGTTTTATGTCCTTATCACACCGTTGCTGGGGAGCTGTTTGGGAAGACAGGGCTCATCGGGCAGCGGGTCGTGGGCGAACACCGAGTCATCTCCGGAGGAGCAGGTGCTGTTGGAGTCTTGACAGGTTGGGGAGTACTGCTCGAAGGGTACTGACAGGTCCAGGTACTCCTGTCAGAAGAAAGCTCAAAGGTTAGACTCGGATGTCATTATCAATCCCTTCTGTGCCCATATATGTAGGAAAAGTATCCTGCATGAATAAAACCTTGTAGATTTTTAGGGTTTGAACATCTAAAGTCCATTTATTCAGTGCCTTAAAAAAGTATTCATCGCCCTATGAGCTTTTTCCCATTTTAATTTTGATTCCATTACATGCACTTAATGATTTCATGTTACAGAGCACCAGACAAAAAGCGGTGTCTAAATTTCAAGTGCATGTAATTGCAATTATGCTTTTCTTCCAAGATACAATATATAAAACCCACCTTCCAGCAGGACAAAGATCTTGACCCAGGGCTCCAAAACCTATTCAACCAGTTTATATGTGCAGAATGTGACTCATATCTGTTGTTTTGCAATGTGAATTCAGTGGGAAGAACCAATGCAGACCTATAATAAATTTGTCACTATTTTTTGCCACCAAACAGGAAACAGCAGCAGTTTGCAAAGCAGACAGAAGCTGCAATAGTAACTGCTAAAACTGATACAAAAATAAATAACGTTGTCCTAAATAATTGTCCTAAAATAGGCGCATTGACCCTTAATTTAAAGAGAGAGATAAGATGATCCGGCAATTCAATGAGTACTTTCATTCTTAAAACAAGATTATTAGATATCATGCACTTCAAATACTATTACAGGATTCTTTTTTTCTTAACTTGAATGTAAATAATCTTATTTCATTGGCAAATATTCTTACCTTCCTGCTCAAATCAAAGGAAATATACTTTGCTTGGCTTCTGGTGCACACTTCAAACACAACCCCCACTTCTCCATGTTTACTGTTTTCTGTGTGCAATGATCATTTAATGTTTTTAAGTGCATGTAGCTCAGTTTGAAGCTGCAAACAGTTCCCACTGATGTCAGATACAGGCCACATTTTAAAGGTAATGGGAACGACAACAGAAAATCTGGTCTAAAAAAAAATCATATTTGAGCATAAAGACCTGCAGTTTTAATGCAGCCTTAATCATAGTGGTTGGAATAGCCCTGGGGGTTGGCAATTCCAGTTCATAAAACCTTTAGATTTTTCCTAGGTCCAACATCCCTGAATCAAATGGCTGAATTACCTCCTCAGAGTCCTGTTAACTATCCAGTTACTTCATACAGATAAGTTGGGCCAAGGAGGGGTCAAAAAGTTGCAGATTACCAACCTTGAGGAACTGGATTTGCCCACCCCAGGACTAGCCAAACATTTCACTCGAGTAAAAAGTATGAAAGAAAATGTTTTATCAAAAAGTTACCAAAGTAAATGTAAATAGTCACAACCCACCTCTGACTAATATGAAAAATGGCTTTATGTTTAATTTAAAACATGAGAAAAACTAAATTTGTTCTGCTTACAGTTATCTTTTATTTCACTAAAAATGAACATTTAGCCATTTTTTTTCTTGCATCAGGATCAATCACCCTTGCAATATTGCCATTCATTGAGACACTTACATCTGTGGAGGTCATTGATAAAATCCGGTCCAGATCTTCTACCAGCTGTCTGAACGTGGGCCTCTGAGACGGGACGGCGTGCCAACACTCCCTCATGATCATGTACCTGTAAACCCAGACAACGAAGCGCTGTTATTCTGCAGCTGATGGATTCAAGTTAACGACAAACATAAAAATCGCTGATCCTGCTGATTTAATATTGACAGTCTTATTCCAGAATCATGAGGAGTTCAGCTTATTGTTAACATTGTGATGAAACAATAAATATGTCAGACACATACAGGTCATGCGTGCAATTGGCAGGTTTGTCCATCCGATGTCCTTCTTTCAAGAGTTTGAAGAGTTCCTCCACAGGGATTCCCGGGTACGGTGAGCCTCCCAGAGTGAATATCTCCCATAACAAAACGCCGTAAGACCATCTGAGCAACACAAAACACACACAAAACAAACACTTATCACCAGGGTCGTAACGTTTGCCTTGAAACTTTAGGCTTGTGTGGGTGACGGCTAACTGTCCATGCAGTTCAAAGTCCTTTTAGTTAGAATCCCAAAGAAATACTGGACTCTTCTCAAGCTTGATAAGTCCCAAAGCAATGTGGTGTAATCCCTCCCCCACCTGTTGCTGTCATGCTGGCTAATGGAGGGCAACTACACATTCTCATTTGTGACAAAGATTGCGGCTGAAATATTTAAGCTCACCAACCACTTTTTAGTTCTCCCTATTATGACCTTCTTCTCAAAAAAACCCAACAACAAATAAAGTTATGTGTATTTATATAAGGTACTTTGTTTATTCAATATTTATTTAGGGAATTAATTTTGTAGGCAAAAAGGTCTGAGATGATTTTATTTTAAAGGACTGTTTTGGAAACTGGACTCTTAACTTCCAAGAAGTTATAAGAACAGTGTTTGCATTGACATAGAAGAACATTTGGTGACAAGCTGGTGATGAATAAAAAGCAGAGACCTTTGAGATTTATAGCTTTTTTTCCTTCGGATTGTACAGCTAATAAGGTATTATATTAGTTTTTTTGGTAAAATAAAGTTTTATAAACATTATTTCCCTATTCTTTTAAGACAAACCCACAACACTGATATTGTTTCTTTATTTCAGATCCAGTTCCTGCACTTCATCTCCGTCACTGACACATGTCCATGTCCAACCCCCTCCCCTTAATATTCCCCCAGTTCAAGTTTAAGTGTCTGGGATCAGGTCACTGAGGCCTCCACTTCTGACTGCTGACTGATCCTCTTTGGAAGGGTCCCTTATGGTCCCCCTGCATATGGTGGCTCACTCAGTCATGACCTGGTCAGGTAGCTTGCCCTCTACAGGTAAGAGGGTGTTCCTAACTGAAGAGGAGTTTAAGTATCACAGGGTTCATGAGCGGGGGGAGAAAATAGCAGGTGATCGACAGGCGGACCGGTCTTTTGTGGTGAAGACATTTAACAGTCAGTATATTCCTACCCCCCTTATGGTTATGACGAAGAGAACAATATTCTGATTGTGAGTTGAAACTGTAAAAAGGAAGATTTTCCTTTATCAAACATCAATCTTTGTCTTGGGGGAGATTTATTGATTCTAAATAACAGCACATTAGCATAATTATGAAAATCAGTTGGATATCCTAACTGCTTCTGGCGCTGGGGATTTGTGAAAATTGTGAAAAAGAAAACATCAAAAACAGAACCAAGGACAGCCTGTGTTTGTTCTGTTCTCCTTTCTGACCCGGACACTGATAACTTTCAGTTACTGGAATTACATCATCCTCATGAGACCAACAAAAAGACACAGAAAGCTAAAGAGTGGTTCCTCTAACACCTTCATCAGACAACCAGCAAGGTTCAAAATACTGATTCTGAAAAAAGTCATTAGGCTGGTGATTTAGTGGAGGCTGATCGCTCCAGTTTTCACAGATATTATTCAGAACAAATGGGGAATTTTTATGGATTGTTTCCAGCTGGGAGCTAATCTGTGTTTGCTGCTCCTCTGAGATTTCTCAGCAGGTGGACTACTGGGTAGTTTTAAGTTTTCAGTGTGATATTTTCTTATTTTAAAGGAGTACCAGAGACTGCTAGTCTCGCAAAGCAAATTAAAAACCAAAAGATGCTCTTTCAACTTAGAAACACTTTTGGCAATAAACAGAGAGTACATTTCCATCCCATCTAATGTTCCATCCACTACCTATTGTGCCTCTAAACCAAGCCATCATGTCACATCCTTTCTACTTCTATGGCAGCAGCTTTATAAAACTATTGAATTATTTCTAAGTCATAAAAAAAGTGAGGGGAGGTGATCGCATAATGGGCATTCAATTAACCCAGGCTGCTATTGTTGGGCTGTTCATCTTTTGAATCCCAGTTCCCCCTCCTCCCTTTAATCTAATTATCCATGCACTGATCTGCAGCCTTATTCGGCCAGGCCGGCTGGTCCACCCTCTGACTGGGGAGCTGGACAGAAGCCAACAAGAGCGGAGGAAAAATAGTGATTAACAGTTTAAGGCAAGTTGTGCTTGACAGGTCTATGTGGAAAAGAGACGAGAGAAAAATGAGGCACAGCATTTTATACTCAATGCAGCTTTTCCCAGCTGTGCATAATATTCTGGCTGAATCTAGGGGGGCGTGTAGGGCACAGACCGCAAACTTACAACACCACACTACACGTAGAAGTAGAAAACAGCTACTTCTAACATTTGCTTAAAAAACGTGCAATTTAATTCAATTAAAAATACTTAATTAATCCCAAAGGGAAATCATATTATGTAGTTGGTTTGATTTTCCAAGAGTCGTAGATGTTGATAGCTATAGGCAACAAGGACCTTCTATAATAAAGAGTAGTGAATCATCTGGAGATTACCATTTGTGAAATCATCACCAGAGGTTTTCCAGCCTCTTTAAATCTCTTTAGGCTCTTATGTATGCAGAAAGCATAACCCATTGATGGAAGAGATGGCTTCTATTTCCTCCTCTTCTTTCATCTCTTTGCTCCATCTCTACATCGTCTGCTCCTCCTATTCAAATCAACTGCTTCCAGGTGTGAAAATGATCCTTGCATTATTTATTATGCATCATAATAAATATCCAAAAAGAAAATAACTGGGAAAATCCTTCCAGTTGCACACTATCCAACACAAAAAAGTAAACTGATCCACAAACAGAGAATCTAAAGTTCTCTTAAAGAAAATCATAAGAATCAAGCAAGCAGAGCTACTCGAACATGCAAATGTAGTATGTATTTACATGTTTGTGTGTATTTAAATATTGATCAGTTACTAAGCTGCATATCTATCTATCTATCTATCTATCTATCTATCTATCTATCTATCTATCTATCTATCTATCTATCTATCTATCTATCTATCTATCTATCTATCTATCTATCTATCTATCTATCTATCTATCTATCTATCTATCTATCTATCTATCTATCTATCTATCTATCTATCTATCTATCTATCTATCTATCTATCTATCTATCTATCTATCTATCTATCTATCTATATATATTGATATAGATAGACATATATAGATATTGAGTAAATACTAGAAGGTGTGTTGACTGAAATGTGACTAAACATCTAATTAATGTTAGTGTTTAGAGCTTCTCCAGGGTTAATTCAAATGTTTGAAGTGTATCAGACTTTATGCCCAAAAGTCAAAGGCCCTCCGCGGTGCATAAGGATAAACTGGCTCAGAGTGACTACTGTATAAAGGGAGAGAGGAGGGGGATTTGGAGTCTGTAATCCAGACCTGCTGAAATAACAGAGAAGGCGAATTCTCCCCTAAAGCCGTTCCCAGTCTGCAGTAATCAAACGGCCTGGCAGTGTTGACAGGGGCCCTTGTTTGGCTTGGATGGCTGTGATGGGGACACAGCGTCTGGCTGTAGCTGGTCGGGGGAAAGGAACAGTTTAGGCAGCCGGAGCTACTGCAAGATAGATTGACTTTGTGACCTCCCTGTCTGAAAAGGCCCGTCTCCTTTACATCAGAGCCAAAACAAATAAAGTCTGAGGTGGTAAAAGGTGTGTTTATCTTAGAGAAGTCCGGCCTGAGGGAGCACCTTGCAATAAATCCACAGTTTTTTCTTATCTCCCTATCTTTTGGATTTAGCCTGATATAATAGGAGCGAGATGCTGGGGCTCAGGCATCTTTCTGTCTTTGTCTTTGTCTGATGTCGTTTTAGAGATTTAAGAACAAGCTGTGCTAGAAAAGCAGAGCCCGCGAATCCACAAGATGATGGGGATTTACCAAGCGAAGGCAGCTAACAGCAAACAGGAGATAGTTGGCACAGGAACCCATCGGTTTAATATTCACATGCTTGACGCTAACGTGCCCAGTCACTACATTTCAACACCCGCATTCCTCCGCTGTACAGCAGCTCCACATGAGTGGGCAGTCGGCATGTGACAGTTAGTTTTTGCAAACTCACACATCGCTCTGGTGCGTGTAGACCCGGTCGAACAGTGCCTCTGGAGCCATCCATTTCACGGGCAGACGACCCTGAAACCAGAAAAAAAAAAGTATAATAGAACCGCTTTTGTCAGCAGAACCTTTCTGTACCAATCAGACAGAAAAAAACTCAACCCAGTCACACAATCTTGCTTCATACACTGTCAGCTAATGGCTGCTAAAATAAACCAGCCTGTTTGTTCTAAGCTGATCAGTCTAAACATTGCAGTGGAGAATATGGGGTAAGATAACGGTCATTAAAAACATTTCCGTAGGTGTGAAATATTTCTGAATGAAAGCAAATAATCTAAATAAATGTAAGATTTTTTTGTTTATTGTTTTCATCTACATACATGTTACATCAGATTATCATCTGTGGGCATAGAAGATTAGAGGCCACAAGTACAAGTGACATCTTAACAAGTAAAAATTCCAGATTTATTAATACGGATCACAACTTTACAAGAAATGATTCTACAAAGTTGATCGACTACCGAAATTAAAAGAAGAGAAAGATGAAAACCAAACAATTGAAATTGCGGTATATCTTTGCTGAAATGTTTTTGATGCACAAGCAGTGTAAGGTTTGATCAATTGTCCTATTTTCCTTTTCCTCCTCCTTGTTTAAAGATTATTGCTGAACAACCAACAGATGCTTTATCACGACAAGCTGGTAATATATAAGAGCACCATAAGGTGTTGTTGATTTTTTTACTCGTAAATTTGTGATCTGTATCAGATTTTATACAAAGATGCAATTTATTCATAATGGCAAAACTTCTACTCTTACAGATATAACATCTGATTTCACAAGTATGTATGTGTTGACAACAAGATACACATCTTAAATTCAATTACCTATTTTCAGTCACATAAATTTAGACAACTAAGACAACATGGAATGCTGTAAAGAAAGAAAAGAAAAACTGCACACATTTTATGGTATTTTTTGTATGTGTCAGACAGAAAGTAGTGCATTGCAAAAATGTAAATGTAATTAATTCTATTTTCTTGAAATAAATGTATTTTGTGATGTTTGAGCAGGTAGGTAAGGCAATTTGCCAGTGGAGCAAGATGATTTAAATGATTTAAAATAAGAAAAAAACAACAACCCTATTATCTTATTTGAAGTGCATTCTATCTAATAATCTTAAGGCTAAAAATACTAATTTCATCGGCAGATCATCAAATTTACCTTGTCTGTTTTTGAATTGTTTTTCTTTTAGTCATCTTTTAGAACAGTTTTTACAGTGAAAGGCATTTTCTCAAATCGGATGACAAGATATACCCTAAAATAAATCCTGTTACAGGCTGCAAGAAACTTATAATCAGGAGTGCAGGTCAGTTTACATCATGTGCCACTTTGTATTCTACAATGTAATCTGCTGTAGCAGAAATGCAGCGACAGCTAAATCCAATAAGATAAAGATGAAATTATTATGAAAACGTACATTTGTGGTCTTTTTGTAGTAGTCTATGTTGTGCACGTCTCTGGCGAGACCGAAGTCGGCAATTTTCATGACGTTGTCGTCCGTCACAAGAACGTTTCTGGCTGCCAGATCTCTGTGGATACACTATAGGGAAAAACAAAAAAAAAGATGTAACATATTTAATAGTATTACAAATGACATAAGAGATATATTTCATATGTGTAAGAAATATACATGTTCATTTGTTTTCCATTTGTTTAACTTGACTTTCTAACTTGACTTTCTCCTGTCATGGAAGCACTTTAATAATCACAGTTTAAGGGTGCATCCTTACAACCTTTTAAACTTTTTAGATTGATATACTAAGCAAACGTTGATTCTTCTAGATTATATATCTTCTTATAAGAAGATTGTACATGAAATAAGTGCAATAAGCTTCTGGTACAGTAAGACAATTGAACTTCAAAAGAATCATGATATATATGGTCAAAACAAGGTAAGGTTCAACATGTTGTAATCATGCTAATTGCTGAAAAAAGAAGAAACTAATAATTCTTGGTCACAAATCTTTGATTAGAACATCTTTACTGCCTCAGCTTTTAAAATGATGAATAATACATTGAGTATTTCCAATATTGTTGTAAAACCATATTCTGCATCACCAATTAAAGCTACAGCAACTGCAACCTGAATGTTTTCCTGAATTTTATCGAATCAGTGACGTATTTGTTTGTATTGCTATAAAACAGAATCCTTCACATGTAATAACCAAAAATAAATGATTCACAAAGTAGGAGAGAGAGAGAGAGTGGTGGGGCTGACCTTCTGCGAGGCCAGATACTCCATGCCTCGGGCGACCTGATAGGCACAGGACACCAGGTCTTTAAACGTGAGCTGCTCGTCAGGGATCTTGCAGGTGTCAAAGGAGTAATCCATGCCCGGAGGACGCCGTGCCCTGAGGTACTCCCTCAGGTTCCCCTTTGAAGCATACTCAACCAAGACGTAGAGAGGGCCTACGAGACAGAGAATTGCTTTTCAGATATCTTTTCCCTCTAGGAGTTAATATTTCTCCATTTTATATTGAGGCTCACCATCTTGAGTGCATGCTCCCAACAGGTTGATGATGTTCTTGTGTTTGCCTATCATCTTCATCATCTCCATCTCTGACACCAAATCTGACAAATCTTTATCTGTTGCATCATCTGGGAAAATAAATAGTGCCAGTATCAGAAACATTGCTGATATCTCTATTTATTTTTGGTGTCTGTATTAGACATTATGTAAATATAATATTCTTTTAAGGGCAGGTATGGTGGTAGGTAACCTTTTAGCATCTTCACAGCAACGGTCAGAGGCTTGTTGGGCTTCTCCTTGTCAATGCCGACGGCCTCTGCCATGACCACCTGACCAAAGCAGCCTTCCCCCAGAGGTTTACCCAGAGTTAACCTGAAAACACAAATCCTTTTAATCCCCAAACTCTTGACTACTTGCTTTAAAAATTCCCCATAACCTCCACAATGGCTGAAAGGTGTTTTCCATAATATAACTTGACAGCTGCAGTGTTTTTATTGGCATTTTATGTTTAAAACCAACTCAGAGTAGTGCAAAAATACAAATGGAAAAAAGAGTGTGCCTTGCTTTTTTTTAAGTTCAGAGTCCTATACTCCAATACTGCTAGAAAAAATGTAGAGCAGATAAAAGCATTTCCACCTTAATGGACACTCTGGACAACAGGCTATCAATAGGCTCACAATAAATCTGGAGGAGCAGCAGAGCTCAGGTATAAGAAATCATAAACAATTTTAGGGTCCATTTATTTGTATAGCACTTTAAAAAAACAGATGATGACCAAAGTGCTTCACTTTGAAATAAAACAAGATAACAACAATATGAGCATGAAAAAATAAATGTTCTTTATAACTATCATAATGAGAAAAAAATTTAACAGCAAAGAATCGACACTGTCTTGCTTACTTTGCAGATATGTTTGAACTTCATTAGCAAAGCAATGGAAGAGGATATTATCTTTGGGGGACCCCACAAGTCAGGAAGCCTTAGAAGAACATCTCCTAAATGAAGAGACAAGCTCCTATTCTTCAGGTGGGATTCAAACCCAGATAAAACTTTGCCTTTGATACCAACCACTTACTCAAGCCTGGGAATTAAAATCCTTTGTTCCATTGGAAACTAGCGCACACCTTAATGTTTTTGTTTTATTAAAAAAAAATGTAAAGAAAAAAAAATATATCTTTTTATGTTTTGTAAAAAAAAAGAAAAGAAGAATACCATTTGTGTTTTTTCTTCTATTACTAAAAACTCGTAGAATTTTGTCATTGTATTGTGACATATCAAAAAGTTCAAGAAGTCGGACTATGTTTGTATTAATTTTTTTACGCAGACAGCTACACAGCACAGAACAGGTTCCCTGCCCTGCTAAAACATATCCCTTAGTGCTGCTGTTCCTTCTCACCTTGTACGGGGAAACTCCCATTTAGGGTCGGAGGGCAGCTCCAGCTCTGAGACGTTGGCCAACATGGGCCCATCACTAGATGACAGCCGAGCAATCCGGACCAGAGGGGTGTTTGAGTTCATGGAGGAGTTAGAATCCAAGGAAACCTGCTTGGGTGCAAAATAAAAAAAATATCTGTTATAGATTCTGAAAAAAGTACAACACACCTAAACAAGGAGGTAGAAAGAAAAGTGAATTACTACATTCAGTCTTTATTTCGTCATTTGACTACATTTTCTGCTAAAATCTTCCCTTTTTGATCATAAACACGCTTAAAAGATCTAAAATTAATAATAGGGTTAAATCATAATCCAACGAGAGGGTTACTGAGACTCCATATACAATCCTATAGCAGGGGAGGGTGAATGTTTTTAATCCAGAACCTCCAGACTGATAAACAGAGAGGGAGCAAGAGCCTGACCCCTTGCTCACACTGGCTCCGGTGCGGTTACTGAGCCGACGGAGACCGCAACTCCCGCACACCCCCTCTCACACCGCCCTTTTGACTACGGTGCGGTGCGGCTCTGCGGCTCCGGCAACAGGTCCGGAGATTTAACAGAAGTTCACTTGAGTTCACGTAACTTCACGCGATAACACGGCCCAAATAAAGGATTTTTGCGAGAGCTTGTTGCGGAGGGCTCCGGCACGCCGCAAGGATAGCTTTCTTGCGGAATTTTCTGCAGCGCCGGAGTGTCTCGGTAACCGCAGCCGGACAGCTCAGCAGCCGGTGAGAGAGGTTTACGTCTTTTTAATGACTTGGAATCACTGCGGCGCTGCACCCACCGCACCGCAACGGTAAGACCGGAGTCGGTGTGAGCCTGGGGTGAGTGCAATATCTGTCTTGCAAGTGGCAGGATAGAAGCTTTTGCCCAGGAGGTTTTAGAAGTAATAACCACCTAAAAAAAATACAATGAAATTAAATAAATCTAGAATAACACCGACATCAGGACCTATCCTGAGTTCTGCACCTTGAATGCAGTGTCTTTGGTGGATGCAGATCAAGGGGCGTTGAGAGATCCTGCAGCACATTTCGATGCATCCTAAAACATTTCGAGCAGTGTGTTTTGACCTTCCAAGTTTTGATGCACATCAACCAATCAGAGAAGCTTATATGGTAGCTGGCAGGGAGACAGACGCTGTATCCAAGCTGTGATCTCTGTTTACCTAGAGCTGTCAGCATAAAACATTTATATAAAATGGAAATATATATCTAAAGGTCTTCAACTCTGATAGATTAACATGAAAAGCCATGAGATGAGATGAGATCTCCAGCAAAATATTGTTTTACTGGACTGTGGTGAATCAGTTAAGAAATTACCTGCATAATATATGCAAAATTGCCAATGTAGTATGTAAGATTTTATATTCAGTTTTTCATGTTTCTTACCGCATACCTAAAATATGCTTATATTGACTTCTAACCGCTACGATCAGAACCATGAAATCTCTAATTGCCTGGGCGGCTGAGGGAGCTATTGCTGGATTCCCATTGACCGCCTGCCCTACTGGTATATGGGCGATTACTGCTTGGAAAAACTACCGAATATCTTAAACCAGGATAATAATCCTGATGAACTGACGGCACAGAAGATGTTTTAAAGTCTACTCTCTCACTTAAAAACATCTTGAAACCGCCTCTTTCCCACTCATCATCCCTTTATGGCATCTACTGTTGTACAAAGGAGTCCGGCATTGAAGCGTGTGACTTTAATAAGCACAAACATCTAAGATGAGGCGTTGAATATCGTTTTGCTAAAGATGAAAGTTTTTTTAAGGTAACTTATAAAAGCATTGATTAAGGCACTTTAAGACCCTTCCCAATGTTGAGGACCTCTGGTGTACATTAGAGCATTTCAAGACGGACATCCAGAGCTGGCGACCACTTCTGCAAATGGAGGAATTAGAAGTGTGTGAAAGGGTTTGGAGGCTGGTCAGCCATCTATATTCATCATTGATCTCCAGCTTAAGATTTTAGGTACTTTCTCTCACCTTTCATCTTACAGCTTCGGGGTGGGGGGTGGGGAACTGAGTCCTAGGATTTTGATAAATATGTTTGTGTCAGTATACTGAACCGTCCCCTTTGGGGGAAAAAGGGGGTGCAACGCCACCTACTACCTACAACAAGTCATAACTGTAGAATATGAGAAATATGACTTTAGAAAGCAAAAAAAGAGAACAGAAAAAAAGCTACAGTTCTAATTTGAAGCATGAAAGTAATATCTGACAGAACATGCCTGCAGGTTTACAGGAGATTTACTTTGAGTTATGAAAAGAGAGGAGAGAACTTGGAGATTAGCCTTACAAAATTGAAGCAAAGATTATAGAAAAATGCAATAAGAACTTCCCCTCTGCTGCCTTATAAGACCATGCACTCGAAGGTGGAAAAATTAGAAAGGACTGTCTGATAATCCTCCTGACTCCAAAAAAGACTCTTCGTTATATCTCAGAAACAGAATGCTTAAAGTAAAAGAATCTCTGCTTTGTTGTTTTCCAGGAACGCTTCTAGAAGTATAATTTGAGGTTAGCAACCTGTCAAGTACAAAGCCAGGCAGCTGGAATTTGATCAAAATAGTTTTACAGCATATATTCTGGACACAGAGTCCCGAATGTTGGTTCCTTTATGTCTAATGTCTTATTGCTTTTTAACAATAGAGAATTTTCTCTACTATAAAGGAATAGAATTAATTGATAAATATTGATTAATTCAACCTTGTTTTGAACCAGTTTCTGATTCCATTTTTAAACATAACACGATTTCGGTCAAAGTTTCCTTCAAGACCTGACTTTGTTTTTCTGAATGGAGCCTTGGATCTACCTCCAGCTTGTTTTAGAAGCAGCCCCCAGCAGGAAGAGACATAAAGGATTCTTCCAATTGCAGGTTGTGCTGAAGCAGCTGCTTCAACTTTCGTGTTTCTCTCCAAACAGTTGAGTGTGAGAGAGTGTGTGTTACACACACGGTGAAATCTAAAACTGACACTGACAGTTGGAGGAGGGCATAAATATCCATGTGCTGAATCTGCTCCAAGATAAATGTGAACACATGTCACCAGTGATGCCTTACAGTATCCCAGCAGGACAAGGGGAAGATCCATGACAGACAGGTGTGTGATACATGACTGAGTCCATTTGTGTGTTATGTAGAATCTGGAAATGAGTTCAGTTTTCCACATTTTGCGCTTACTAGGGTTGCTGAAGATACCATGTTAGTTTAGTGCAGACCCCAAGGGAGTAGCGAGACACCAAGTGCAGGGTCACATGATGCTTTCATTATTGTGATCTGATTTCTGAGGTATATGGAGGGCAAAATATACAATGAAATACATAATTGTGAATAAAGTAAATAGAAAAATGTATAATTTATTTATTTATCAAATACAGTAGTTCCCAAAGTGGGGGTGGTTAGACAAAAAGTGGGGTGTCTGAAGTTTTTTGACAACTGTGATGTGGTTCCTGAGACATACGGAGCGCCAAGATCTATTATCAAATACAAAAATGTGATTGAAAGAATCAAATTTGAATTTCTCAAGGCATAACTGTGAAGTCCAATAGAAATAATGCAGTTTTTGATTTTTTTCCAATTATTGCTGATTGTTTTGAGTGAATTGCGCCAGTATCAATAGCAGCACCTTTCCCTGCAAATAAAGCTGCAGGTCTTTTGTCGTCTGAACTGAAATTCAATTTCAAATTCAATCAGCTTCAAATTATTGAAGCTGATTGAAAGAGATAGGTCTGCTGACAACAACATTAAAAACACAACAGATTTAGATTGAACAGGCTTTCTATCAGGATCAACCAGTACTTAGCTTTTTCTACTGGCCCAACTCTGACTACCTTCTCTGTCCCTGAAGAAAGGCATCCCCACAGCATAATGCCCCTACCGCTCTGCAACTCTGTGGGGAAGGTGCTTTTAATGGTGCTGCTTTTACACTAATAAACCCCTGAAGCCTTTAATGAAAAGCTGTAGCTGCAGGTGACCTCTAAAGCAGATTTGTGGCCCAGGATTTTACTTATAGGTAAGATTACAGAATACAATGCAAAAACTTATCCAAAAAGGCATTATTTAAAATAAGAGTGGTATTTGGCTTAATTTGAGATGATAATTATGATCTGCCAACTGAAAGAGTAGTTTTGCACAAAAACATAAGATATAACATATGCACTTGGAATAAGAAAACAAATTTCTTTTGCCTTATTATTTTAAAAGGAGTTTATCCTATTCTGTTTGCATATTGTCTAAAAGGGAAAATACAGTTTCAAGAAAAAACTCACTTAATTACATTTTAGTTTTTCCAGTGAATAAATAAATGCCATGTAATTAATATATTGTTTGTTCTTTTTAGATTCCTGGATAATTTGCACAATAAAAAAATAATACCTTAGAGAGGTGAAGATATGGGGTGTGAATACTTTTGCTGTGAAAAATATAAATTTGGACTTATATCTGCTGGAGATTGTTTTTTTTTTTTTTTCAACCTAATGATATATAACTTCACTCTGATTTTCTGCATCCAATTGGACAAATCTAAACAAGTAAGAAGAGAGAAAAGGAGTTGGAAGATTGTGCAAATCTTGTATCTACTTTCTGTTACCTGTCTCTTAAGGGGGAACTTTGACAGTTTCTGCACAGGAGGTGTGGGAAGAGTCTTCTGCATGGTCATCCTCATGCGGCAGAGGAAGACGATAACTACGGCGAAGACGAAGAGCACGCAGCCTGTCAGGTAGATGAGGATGTCGGCGTAGTAGTCATCTTTGCTTGAGTTCACTGCTTTCAAAGGAGGGGGTTCAAACACATTAGAGACATTTTAGCTTTCAGAGTCCAAAAATCTACTTCACTTTTTCTTTTAGTCGCAGAAACAAATCAGAAACCAATTTTTTTCAGAGTAAAGAAACATGCATCACCACTAGTTTAGAAGTGCAGCAAGTAATTATAGCTGTTTCTCCTCATAGAAGCAATTACAGTCTTTAACATAAAGCACAGGGGTATTTTAAGCTGTCTCATAGCCTGAAGATGTTTGAAGAGATGATTTAAAGTGATCAAAAGCTAGAAAGGCTTTCAATTTCATGCCTTGTCCTTTCAAATAAAAGCATAATAACATGTACTCAACAAATTCTAACTGTTGGTAATGATGCACTAAAATGTACAGTAATCAGATTAAAGAGCAATGCAAAACATAACACTGCATAAACACTTCAGTAGACATTTGCCTGAGAGAAAGATGAAAGAGATGAACAAGAATCAACAAGAGTCCCGTGTAGTAAAGAGGGATATACCTGGAAGCACCGTCAGCCAAGCGGAGTGGTGAGCAAAGCCGATTGAATTCCCTGCCAGACAAGTGTACTCTCCCGCATCCTCAAAAGACACATTGGTCAAGAAGAGAACCTCTAGCTCCTTATCTGTTGTGTTAATACCGGCCGTCTGTGGAGGATGAAAGGGGCATAGAGACAGAAGAGGACAGAGAGGAGAATCCATGAGCCCGAAGGATTTTTAGAGTAAACACCCGACACAACCTGGAGAAAAGGAGAGGGCCAAGGAATCAGCTTTGCTGCCACCACCAGCTTAAGAGACACCAAAGAGGCCCAGATACCACGCTGTGAGAAAAAAGGAAAACTTTTCATCTGAGCTCAACTGAATTATATATATATAGATATTTTCAAGGGTCTGTAGGGCTTTTTCCAATGGAAAATTCAGACGCTACCTTCAATCGAGGAAGATTGGTAAAGGTCAAAGGCTTGAGTATCTGTGAGTTATTGAGAGCAGAGCTTTTAATGGGATTTATTTAACAGCACAGAGTGGTAAAAGATAAGCACTTTCAAACTGAGACACTAACAAACCACGAAAAATACAGCAGAGGTAAAAAAAAAAAACTTGGGAGAAAATGGTATAAATATGGCCGCAAAGAACTCCACAAATGGGCAACCACATTTTGACGTCCAACGATACCCTATTTTTCTTTAAGTTAGCAACAATGGCCAAAAGCTAATTTAAATCTTGTCGAATAATCTAAAACAAGATACTTGCAAATTAATATTTCAAAATTTAAAAAGAAGTTTGGAATTAGGAAATAAATGTATTGCACATTTTAAATTTATTGTAAATGGCGAAACAAAACATATATGTACATATAAAAGCAATTTTATATATACGCATAAAAAGAGGATTTTATAATCTTAAATGTAATGAGTCTCAGTTGACGTTTATTTCAATAATCGATTAATCAGGATTAATGCTATTTATAGTTTCAACCTGATATCACCTGAGCTATGAGTTTTTCAACATTAACTAACATTAGAGCAGTATGGAGGAGTCAAAGTGCCTCAGTAATGAATGTTGCCATCACAGCGCTGTGCTGCATACTTTGATGTAAAAGCCCATTAATATTGGTGGTGAATGCCTTCTCTGGGAAATCAATAATAATCTGTGTGTGTGTGTTTGAAAAAGATCTGGTCAGTGAGGGTTTTATAGCTGGCTTTTAGGTTTATAGTGCGTTTTGTGTCAGGGTGAGCCTTTTGAAGCCATCGTCATAATTAAGAACGCAATGTTGTGTTTGTTATTGATTAGGGTCAACATGGCCCTTTGGAGTTAGAATGAATGATAGCTACTCACTAGCAAGATGTGATTATATCAACTCGTTTGACGGATGTGTGTCTGTGTGGATGTTTGTGCTATTAGCAAGTCAAGCAGACCCACAACCAAGAGGAGCATTGCAGGGGAGGGCAAGCAGCGGAGAGCATCAGGTGTGGCGAAGGTGGCTCCGGCCGAGAGCTCAGTATTTACCTGGTTTGTGTACCATAAGCCAGAAAGCTTTTTCCGACGTGCCTACAAAGTTTGAAGCACGAAGCCAGTACTTCCCAGCATCTTTATCTGTCACGTTGGACAGTTTCAGTCTACTGTGAGTCACTTTGTGTTTACTGACATTACTCTGTGAAAGGAAAATCAAGAGGCACAGTGAGGTATTGTCACAAAAACCTGCAGCAGCTAAAGAAAACCTTTTATTGTATGAGCTGAGCTGACTGAGCAGCCGTAACTGTTGGAAATGTCAGCTTGGAGATGAAGTCTTTAGGGAAATTGTGACTAAAATATTTTACAGGAAGTCAAAGAACAAAAGATTTGACTTAGACTTGCAATTTAAAAACTCAGGTGTGGTATAAAATCTCATACACATTAATGCACCTGTGATTACATACCAGCTCTAAGCTGCCCTCTATATACCTCAACTATTAACCCAGTGAAACACATTAAAGAGAAATCAAATTGTGTTTTAATGCTTGCTAAATAAACATTAAGGGTTTGACTCTTCTCTTTTGGCATGCAGAACCACTGCTTTGTCGTAAAGCATTTTTCCAGGCACCAAAGATTAATTCAGGCGGATCTTACAAAAAAAAAAAAGAAGAGGGACCCTTCTCAAACCCTGAGCTGTGTTTAAATGCTGCAGTCTATGCCACACATAGGAAAGTATATCATGTCTGAATGAGCTGTGGTTAGTCCAGATAGAGAGGCACACACTAGTTTCTGTAAATACTGTTTCAATTATGCGGTGGTCGAAAAATAGAGCCTGGAGCCGCAGTCTGGGCCAACAGACTTGCTTTCCCCCTCTTCACACTGTCTGTCCCTTTGCTTATCCATCTCTTGACTTCATCTTGTTTTTTCTAATAAAAATAAATCACTTTCTCACACTCTCCGTAAGTCTGCTGGATGATTTATAAGTTAACTTTTTTTTATTGAGCGCTCAGAAGGATTTCTTTGCATGAAAATTTACATCAATTAAACTATTGACAATTTAAATGCATGGTAAATGAATAACCAACTGCAGTCATGGTTATGTAAAGGTAGCATAAACAGGGGACGCTTGTTTTTGTTCTAGTTCTAAAGAGCGAAACGACATAAAGATACGAACACTTAAAAGGATCCATTAGTTTTAACAACAGACGTTATTTGAGAAATACTTTTTTAATACAATATTTTAAAAATTTTACAAGACGTTTAGCTTTAATTAATTAAAATCAAATAGATGTCTGTGCTGCAATGCACTCTGGGTAAATGCTAGTTACTTCAGGGCTAGTTTCTCATTTATTTTCTCAGGAAATACATGAATAACTTTTAACACAATATATTTTAGTACGCTTAGCATTTTTGGGGAGGGAAAAATGTAATTTAGGTATTTTTTTTCTAAAATTTTTCATAAAATATAGGGTGACCCGGATGTATATCTGGATGCAATTAAGCAAATATGATTTTTTTTTTCCTGCCACGAGTGTCAGTAGCTTTTTACATTAATAGAAAAATCAGAACATAGTTAAGCCAACATATTAACTAGTCCTGGATCCCTTTAGAAGCTATTAACGCTAGATAAAATACCAGACATTTTCTTAACTATAGTAGAAATAATAATAGCCTTTATGTTTTAAATAGTTCATAATTATATGTGTTTTTGTTTAAAGCTAAAAACCTTTTTATTAATACAAAATATAACATTTTAATCCAATTATAGTTTGAAGAAATGGATTTGGCTAATATCTGGTGGAAACAGTGGTTATTCTAAAGGCTTTTCATTGTTTTACATTTTGGCCACCTATGACATTAAACTTTATACACTGATTGCTGTTCTTTTAGAACAGTTTTGTATTGTTATTTTTAGTTTTTATAAGTATTGTTAATTTTTCATTCACTCTTCAAAAGCAATTCAAATCCCTTATAAAACTTTAGTGTCATTAAATGAAACCTTTGTATGGTTAAGGGAGAATCATAATTTATTCAGACATTGATATTTGAGACAAAAGCAAAACAATCGATGACTACAGCTGTGGAAAAATGCTCTGTCTCTCATTCTAGCTCTGCGGTCATACCCCTTTTTGTCTCTTTTCTCACACAAGCCTTCATCTAACCCCAGCCCTCTGTCACACGTTCACTCTCTCCCTGCTGACTTTGCCCTTCCTTCAGTATCCCAACTCATTTTTTCCATGGCTTTTTTGGGTGCCTCTTTGCTCTCTCATTCTCTCCTCCTCCTCAAACCACGCGACGCAGCACATCTGACGGCAGCGGCGGTTAACTGAGCCTGTCTCCCTCCCTGCGTTGCCGCCACCACAGCAGTTAGCTTAGTCCAAACCAGATGTTTGTTTTTATTTCTTCTCTCCAGAGGGAAAGACAAAAAAAAAAGCTTGGGGTGCAAAAGCCCTGTTGGTTTGCGACAGGAGTCTTCCAATTTTGAGTTAATAATGGGTTTAAGTTTTTTTGTCCTGAAGAAACATTTTATGCTCTATTCCTGAGAACCAAAGCTGCTTATGAAACGAGACCATCTAGTAATTGGACATTGTGACGGGAAAAATCTTCCAAAAGAGCATTGAGATTATGCAGAGAAAGAGCAGAAATGACTGCTTTGATTTGCAGCAATATCATTGCTTAATGGGTTTACAGTTTCACAAACTCCAGCATCTTGTAATGATGCTTTAGTGTTAGCAGAAAGATGAGCTCTTCAATTAAATATGGCTCAGTAAACTTGTGGGTCCTGTAGACCCACCTTCTGCAAAGGCTGGTTAAAAAAGACATCTGGGGAAAAATGAACGGAGTAAAATGATCACGAGCTGAGCCTGGCTCCAGGCAGACTCATCTGAACCCACCTTTAGTACGTTCACATAGGGAGCGCCGTCAGGACCGTAACGGCTGCCGTTCACCTCGATGTGTTTGAGCCATTGGATGTGCGGCTGAGCGTCACTATAAACCTTACAGTGAAACTCCACGTTGCTGCCCACCACCACTGTCTGATTGGCTGGCAGGCCGGCCTGCAGAATTGGCCTGTGAGGTGATCGCTCTAAGGGAGACATGGACATATTAATTAGGCAAGAAATAATGTAACAGCTATATAAGGTTTTAAACCAGATTGGACAGATAAAATATTTCCTGTATTATAAGAAGCCCTAGCTGAAAAATGAAATCTTAACCCCATAGGAAAAACAGGAGCTGTTTGTGCCACATTTAAGATCTAGTTATTAACATTTAGAATAATTCTATTAAAGCTTTGTCCAATTAACACGGCTCTTAACAAAGTGAGGTTGCCATCAAAATGAACTCCCGAGTGGAGCAAGATGATATGGCAAAAACTAACATCAGAATATATATCTTAAATCTAGTCAAAATGTTATAATTTTGATACAAACAAAATAAAAGCCTAAAGAAACTGCCCTCAACACAAAACCTATGACCTTTATTTTTGTCATTTAAAACTTTTAGAAATTATGCTTTAAAAAAATTAAACTTATAAAAAAAAAATACAGAAGTAGAAGTTTACCTAAAACATCCAGCTGATAGGTGTGGCTTATAGTGCCGTGCTTGTTCTGCACCACACAGGTATAGTTTCCCCGATCAGACGGAACAGCACTTTCCATCACCAAGCTCCACTGCTGATGTCTGAGCTGAAGAGAGAAGGGGAGGGGGGTTGTATGTGTCATTACAACAGTTCAGATTAGAAAGTCCGTCTACAGTAGTCAAATCCTTCTAAGATGAAGAAGAAACTTAGTTTATTTTTAAAGGATTGAATACTATCATGCATCTTTGTAGAATGGGCTATTTTCACATTGGATTTCTTTGATATAAAAGTGTTGTGTAAAATCTATCAAACGATTTTTCTTTCTCTGCCTTCAGTGAGTACAGAGGTTTTTTTTTTTTTCTCATTTGCACCTCTGAAATTGGTTCCACTCTACTATTCAAGAGCAATCCATCGCCGCAGACTCAAAGGCTAAATTTTGCACAGTAATTCAAACCAGGTGCAGCTGAAAAGCACAACAGACAGACAGACACTAAGTTGACAGGCTCAGAAGGCGGACGAAAGGAGGACTTAGAAACCCAGGCGCAGTGAAGTGAGAGCAGAAAAAGCTGCAACGCATCAACAGGGGGAGACTCCGCTGGCCAGAGGGGGACGACCTGCGTGGTTTTGGGGAGGCGGCGTGCGTCGCAGATGCCACAGCTGGCCAAGAGTGGGGTGAACTTCTCCAGAGGAGGTCAGAATAACTAATAAGGGGAGTGCGTGATGTCAACAAGGTGACTTTTTTCAGGGTGGAACACTTAACCTCACCTGAGAAGGAAAATGTGCGGACCCAGGAAGTACTTTGTTTTGGTTGGGGGCGACATGCAGCCACGCGTCTGCAGGCCACATATCCCTCTCTCCACCCTTCGTCTTCCCTCTATGTATTAGAGCACACACTTCTTCACCCTCTCTCTTGGAGGTGCATTCGGAAAATAAAGCAACAGTGTAAATATTATGCCTTAGTGTGCTTCTTTTTTTTTTTTTTTCGCAGTTGCATGGTAACATAAACCAGGCCGCCCACTCAGCATTGGCAAATGGTTTTTCTGTGAAATGGCTGGCTCCACCCAGTCTACCCCCTTTTTAGAGATGAGGAGTCAAACTCAAGTCAATGGCTGCTCTCATGAGCAGATGAGTGACGCCTTGTGCTGTGGTCGCTGAGGGGGGAGAAGAAAAAGTGGTGCATGAGAAGGGAGGAGGCTAAAATGTGGTAAAATATGAGCTGAAGCTGATATTCAGTAAAAGCCAGGACCACCAACAGAACCGGGGAGGCTATAATCAGAGCTATGCCATACATAAACCATACTTTCTCTACTTCTGGGACTTTGATGTGCAAAACTTCAGTTTAGTAGTTAAGTTTTGACCGACCCTGCAAATTCTAAATCACATATTGCTTTTAAAAAGGGCATTTCATCACTTTATTTTTACATTTTGACACATGTGTTTTAATGGGGTTTTATATGATACAGTAGTCCAACATAAATAATGGAAGTGGAAAAGAGAATAGATACATTTTTTGCTTCTTTCATTAAACTGTGGTACTATGAAGCTATGAAGAACTATGAAGAGCGCTCTGCTTTCATGAATAAATATTCACTCAAATTCAACCACTTAAGCCTTAAGTTATTTCAATTATAATCTGCCTGTGAAAGTTAATAGATACAGTTATAAAAGGTGTGAACTTTTCGTCTTGCTCTGGTTACATTAAAGTTGAACTTAAACAGCTGTAATTCATGCGAATACTGGTTAAACATGCAATGACTCCAGTGTAGTATGGCTTTGTAGATATTCTGGTATACACCCAGTCACTTTTTGTTTAGTATGTGCAAGTTGGATTAAATATTATCAAAGGTAAATAGAACATTAATTTGAATTTATACGCCAGTGACTCACTCTGGTTGTGTGAGTGAATATTGCCTTTCCGTATATATTGACATAACAACATCCTGTTACTAGGATTACGTCACTGCACATAAGTACAATTGGTCAACAAGCCGAAGCAAAGGGGGCGAGCGGATCTGGAACTCCCAGTGTAGTTTAGAGAAGTGAGAAAAGTGTAAAAGAGATAAAAGTCAACAATCAATTGTAGAAAGACACAAGGTGTGAGGTTCCAAAACTGAAATCAGACCTTGATTTAAGCTGTGAAAACAGTCTGATCTCTGAAGTTAGCTAAAGTTCAGGAAGCGTTCTGATGTCGCTTGAAAGTTGAAAGACACATGAGTACATGTCCTTGCTAATAGTGCTACTGTAGTAAGCAATGCTTTAAGCCCTATCTTCTGAGCTTATTTAGTAGCTGCAGTCACCATCTGGCTTTCTGGTAGATCAGCGGTACTGCCAGTAGACAGCGCCACGTCTGTTTATGTCAGCTCATCGCGCTTTTTGCTATAAAAGAATATATCAAGATGGATGCATAGAGTTCACAGTATATATCCCTACCATATCAAAATAAGGTTGTACTTATGGCCTATCTCAAAATGTTACTAACAAAAGTAATTAAAAAAAAGACATGCACAAAGAAAATGTATGTTTTTAAATTCTTTTGATATTCTATTTTGTTAACCACTGTATTTAAGATCAGTCATTTTTATTGATTTATCTACTTTCCTGCTGCAGTTCTTTGTGCCAGCCTAGGTTGCCATTTTTTCTTTAATAATGTTATTGTCCTATTGTTAGTTTTGGCATTGTTAGTTTCTATCAAATTTTCAGAAGTAGTAAAAAAAGAAGCACAAATAGTTGGGTTTTAAGATCTGGAAAACTGCTTTGCAGATGGCAAACATTTACATGTGCATATCTTCCACCAATAACTTGTAATTAGAATATGTTCTGCATATTGAACACACATAGAAAATGGTCTGCCTCTGCTCTCTGCTGAATTGCAAAAGCAAACCACTTCAAAAACTTCTTTAAAGATCTTCTAAACGCAATCTTTGTTTGAATGATTAACGACCTGCACATCTTCTCTAGAGCAGGGCCTCGGTTATGAAAAAAATTTATTCAACTCAGTATTGGTGTTAAATTAACCCCTGAAAATGTCATTGTCAAAGAAAAAAGTTATAAGAAAAAATTGCTTTTTAAAATCTTGATTTATTAAAACTACATTTCAGCTGTTAATTTATACTCAACTTTCAGTGACTTTCATCTTTACAATCCTTTGCCTTTAATTGTCACTAAAATTATCTTAAATGCATGCTGTTGGCTTTAATTGATATGCTACAGTGGCTAACCCCTGTTGAACCTGCAGCATTAGTCCCCAAAAGTGATAATCCCGTTCCTTTCAATCATGCCAGATTCCAAGCAGAATTAAATTATTAAGCAGCTTATGTTTGAGTCATACAAGGCTTTAAAGGTTTTAGGGCTTAGGCCACAGATGTACAGAAGGGCGCAAGGCATGGGAATGGACGAGGGCCTTTACACTGCAAAAAGTCTAAACCTAAAGAGGACAAAACCTCCACAACTATACTTGGGGACTCCAGGACCACCATCTATTTCATTTGAAGGTTCGGTTATTTCACTTGTAGAGTGAAGACACTGAATTACGCTTTAGTTAGCTCATCCCAGCTGCTGGTTCTTTTGCGTATTTCAAAAGACAAAGCGAATTATCCTTGATGGATGTAAAAAAAGGTCAATTTTTTGGCAGTGCAGCAGTTGTCTGAGCAAACACAGGAAACGCTGTTCCCTTTATAGTCCAAACTCCTCTGTCTTCACCTCACAAAATAGCCCTGTCAGAACAAGTGGGGCCAGTTAGCAGAATTTATGACTGTGTCAGAGCAGACCAGCGGCCCGGATCCGTGCTACCGTCTAATTTGACCCACAGAGAGGGCGGAAGCAGAAAGATGTGGCCCTATGGGCTTGCTATTAAAACTGGGAAAGTTTTGTTAGTCTGTTGCCTGACTTTGGCTCAGCTTGACATTGCATCAACAAAGAGGATAAAGGTTGTAAAAGCTCAATGTGCAAAAGTGACAAAAACGGAAATAAAACCCTGTTAACAGCAAGACCTGTCTTTTACTATCACTGGTGTATTTTCAATAACACAACAGGTGAAGAAAGTTTATAAAGTTAAATTTATTGCTAGGGGTCTAAAATTAGTCCAGAAAAAAATAAGGCTCTAAAAATAATCTTGGAAGCATAGAAATTCCTATGCGGGTGGTGGAGTCTTTGCTAAAAAAAAACTGTAGCGGAAACTCCAGGATTTTGAAGTGCTTAAAGTCTTAAAAAGTAACAGTGTGGAGCCAGTTTAAGAGCCCCTTCTTTGGAAATCTGTCAAAATAAGGGATAAAAATTCTGGATGGAAATAAAACAGTTATAACTCTGTCAAGAACACAATGAAACCCCCCTCTCTGCTGCACACAGCAGCATAGCCTTTATGTGTTGACGACCCAGGATGGCTCAATAGGCTAATGCTGCGCCTATCTCCTGCCACGTACATCTAACAGCTCAATAGAGGGTTTAACTCTGACCTTCAATAACCAAGAGCTCCACAGTTGTCTGGGATGACACATGGCGCTCTATCAAAGCACTCTGCTGGAATCTTATTTTTCCATTTTAACAAACACGGCACACATCTTTTTGCGTGTTTCATTTAGTTTGCTGTTTAGTTTTCTATTTTGCATTTGAATCAACCTACAAAGTGCTTTTGATATAGAATAAAATGCCTGACAGACACACTGTGAAAGAACAAAATACAAAATAATTTCTGGGAATGACACAAAGGAAATGGATGTGGAACAACTGATCATTTGAAATGTGTTGAACAACTTTTCTATTAAAGATATTTATTTTTTGACATCTGTTCATAACAATGTTTTTCCTTTTAAAAAGGTGGTGAAGATTCTCACTCACTGAGGACATGGTAATTCAAAACAAGGTTTCGAAAAGAAGGGTTTATAGTTGAGATTTGTATCTGAAGGGCTTTCTTTATTCAAACCCACCACATAATATATAAACAAGATTTTGACAAAAATGTTCAACACTTGAGGCTGGCTTCAGGAAAAGCACCGATCTCTTATAATGTCACTTCACTTTTCACTAGTGTACTCACATCAGAAGGAGTGTAAACAGTCAGAAAATGGTTCCTAAAGATACAGACCTCATCAAACGACCAGTTTTACTACA